GATAAAGAAAGATACAACATTCGATGGTAAATTGATTTACTCTCAAATACCAAATCAATATAGTTTATTATCAGTATGGCAAGTCAAATTCATGAATAAACTAACTGAAGAACTTATAGAAGCGATATCTCAAATTCTTAAGTATTTAAAAATGACAACTGGACAAATACTATTTTTAAAGAAAAACAAAAGTAAGAAATTAAAATGTATATGATTTACACTGGACTGCTTTTATGACTGTTAGAAGATCCAACTCCATATACTATACATAAGTCTGGGGATACTTGGTGAAGAAAAAAACAATCAGTGGTATTCAGGAGTAGTATTAAGGCTGAATTTAGACCTTTAGCACATGGTATCCGTGAAGGAATGTGGCTACAAAGAGTATTTGGTGAATTGAGAATTCTCTCTTCAAAGCTTATGAAAGTGTTCCATGACAATTAATCCATAATAAGCATAACAAAAAATCCAGTTCATCATGACCGAACTAAATATGTAAAAATTGATAGACACTTCGTTAAAGAAAAAATGAGTTAGGAGTACTATATTTGTGGCACATTCAATCTTGTCATCAAACCACGGATATTTCCACCAAACCATTACTTTGTAAGACTTTAGAAGAATTGAATTCCAAGCTTTGTTTGCTCAACATCTTCAAACTATCTTGAGGAGAAGTGTAGGAATCCTACTTCTTGTAGAAGTCTAATCCTTATACAAAGTAGTATCTTAAGGGAAATCTCCCTAAAAATTAGCTTACTTTTTATAACACTCAATCGTAGCTTTTACAAGAAAAATCAAAATTATAAAATTTAACTAAGAGATTCCTGCAATTAAACATTTTACAGGCTGTGCTAATAGAAGGACAACTGACAAAAGAAAACAACTTAGATAAGATCAAACTTACGAATAACTTCCACTAAAAATTTTCTTATCGATTAAGAAGGATGGTCACAACAACAAATCAAGCAAATTAAGAGAAAACACTTGAGGGCAAAAGAGAAGTTAAACAAGGGTTAGAATTAAGAGGTACCTGATGAGATTCTTAGAAGTGATACGAGGAGCTTTGATTGCAGCACCAATTAAACTACTTCCAGTTATGTAAATCCCCCTAATCAAATGGACGTACAAACCCACTGACATAAGTCTCGCGAATCAGAATCCACCAAAAGTACCAAAGGAAATAAAAACATGCAATTTTATCGTTGAATCGAAGAAAGCAAGGTACCAGGCAGCGCCGAGGACGGAAACGCCAATAGCAACGGCGATGCCCACGGCGGAGAAGGTGTAAGGAGAGATCTTAACCATCGCTCGAGACCACGAGCTCGGATCCCCCACCATAGTTGATGCCGGCATTATCTTCTTCTCCGATA